TGACAATTGCCATTAATTTTTGAAATTGTTGAATGATGTGCATAACCCTCCTGTTCTATTTTTTAAGGTCCCATGTTCCCTAGTAGCATCAAACCACCTGCTGTTTGCATCCAAGTTCCGCTTTCTCCATACAGTAGGATGCTATCTGCCCCTTTGCCGTGTTTATTCCACAGTTTAAAAACCTCGTGATTGGGCTAAGCTGAAGCAGGCTTCCCTGCACATCCCCAGAGGTCAGCAGCTGCCCCCTGGAATGAGGAGACCAAGAAACAATGCCCGGAATGCCTGACTCCCCAGATAACCGGACAACCTAACTGCCTGAGCTGATAAACTACATCCTGGGTCATAAACTTTACTGCTAACATCCTGGGCCATAAACTTTTCCGCTTCACCAAGACCCCCTTCCCCACTTTCCTTTAAAAATCCCAGACCTGTTGCTCTGGGTCTGCAATCTCTCTGGGCTACTTGCTAGACCAAGGGATTTTGCCCGGGACTCTCTCCCTCTCTCCCTGCTACAATAAAGCTGTCTCTGACTGCAGCTACTTCATTCTGACTAAGTTATCGTCCTGTGCCTCAGTGGGTCTTTACACCTTGCACCATAAGCACTAGGGGTCAAGGGAGAGTTAGACTCTAACCACCCTGTGAGTGTGGCCAATAAAGTCTTATGAAGTTTCATGAAAGTTGCTGTGGGTTACGTAATCTCGTCTGGGCACAGCAGTCTGTTGGCACACCCCTGATGATGGGGAAGCTCACCCCGTATGGTCATCTCACCCAGCAGGAGCTGCCACTGGCTGATTCCCCACAGGTGGCTCTGGCTCCCTTGGCCACACAGAAGAGGGGTCAGTGCAGCCTGACTGTGGGGGAAGCCAGCCCCTCACACTATCACAGGTTCAGTAAGCACAATTGTAGGGTTAAAATAGATAAAGATTATAGTAAAATCATAGAGAGTAAGAGAGAAAGTAAAAAGAAGGAGTCAGACACATTTCATGGTAGCATGCTCACCTCAGACCCCCCTGGTGGTCCACGTGGGGACATGGAAGGTGGGAAGGGCAGGGGACAGCGTGATTTATTTCCAACCAAGGCTTATATATCTTTGGGGGGCATGCAAGCCCCCTAATTACCAGTAAGGACATACGTCACAGGAAGTGGTTGTATTATAGGTAATACAGTACTGGGAGGGGGGTGATCTAGGGGCGTACACCCTACAGGAAGAGGAGGGATTGGGGGTACACATGTGACAAGATGGGCGGATCCTAGATTCATGGTGGCGGCCTAACCTTGATTGCCCTTGAGCTGGAGACTTGATTTAGTCCAAGCTTTCAGGGGAAGCCGTCCACTGTCTCTACCAGGAGGGAGTGAGCCCCACCTATGGTGGGACAGACAATAGGGTCTGCTTGCTCTGGATGGCTGGTGCCTTCAGGGAGATAACTTGACAATCATTTACCATGAGTTGCAAGCAGTGCCCTCGGTCTGACATATATTTGGGAGAGAGAAACTGAGGAAAAGTCTTTTATATCCCACACCTGAACACCTCCTTTCCCGCACCGTAAGTCCAGCCACCTCTTGGCCTCTCCCTGCAAAGTCCCTGTCACCTGGTGTCTTTCCCCAAAACACATCCCTCACCTGTAGCTGCCTCTGTACCATCTGTCTGTCCTTCCATTTCAAGGCTCAGGCAGGACAGGTGGCTTCACACCCATCCATTGAGCAACTCCTGAAAGTGGAAGCCCTTCACCCACATCTGATCCCCCACTCGTGGTGAGGTGGATTGGTAGCCCCATCACAGAGGGGAAAGGTCAGGTTCTGAGAGTAGGGAGCCATCCTAGGGTGGCAGGGGTCATGGGGGGCAGAATGTGGAAGAATGACCTGGCCCCCTTCCAAAAGACTCCAACCAAACTCGCTGCCATCGGGGCAATTCCAACTCTTGGTTACCCCATAGAAGGAAGGGTAGAATTGCCCCCGAGACTGTAACTCATTCCAGGTATGGAAAAGCTTTCTCCTAAGGAGCAGGTAGTGGGTCCGAACCGCTGACCTTAGCGGTCAATGCATAACCACTAAACCAAGAGGGCTCCTTGCTCCCTTTTCACTCCTGCTCATTCCTGCATCGCAGGTCTCCACAAGCCCACCCCTGGGAGGTGTGAGGGCTGGGGGAAGCCCTGCTGTGTCACCACGAAGCCGCTTAACACAAGCCCAACCTCTTGGCTTGGTCCCAGGCTCTGCCACCTTCCTCACCGCTGACCCTCACAGCCTCAGACCCCAGATGTCTGCTTCTGCAGGTCCTCATGAGAGCAGAGCTTGTGTGCCCCAAGTGCTCTGCAAAGTCCACTGCTGCCCTCGTCCTAGGAGTGAGTGGGCGTGTCCCAGGCAGGGGGAGGGGCGGGGTGGGGACAGTGTCCCTCCAACCAGCTCCCACAGACCAGGGAATGATCCGGGGGCCCACAATGCTGGTGCAACAAAACCGATTCTGGTCCAGGAAAAGGAAACTGAAACTCTCTGCTTCCCATTGGCAGGCCCATCACTCACAGGGAGCCGCCAAGGCCGCTGCTCAGGGGATTCTCCAGGATCCTGCCATTGGCTAGGGCGGTCCCTGTGCTAAATCAGAGAGGCAGTCCTAGAAAGTTCCAGTCCAGGTCTGCCCCAAGGGCCGAGTTCACACAGCTAAAAGGTGGTCCTTCTGATAACACCTTAATCCACATCCATGGATGAAAAGAAGCAAGACGAGAGGATAATCTTCGATCTGAAAGTGGTGGGGGTGGGGGTTCTGCTTATACTACTCGTAGCGGGTTTGGTAGTGGCCTTGGCCATTTTTGCTGTCAGAGCCTGCACCGATGTCCTCACGGTGCAGAATAAATGTCAAAACAAGACCCACCA